GGCCAGGTAAATTTGGTTCTGGAAAAAAATTCCCTTTAAAATAGCCAAGATTTTGCATGATTGCTCGAACTGGCCAGAATCGGCATGACCAAAATCGTCATGATTGCACGGGTTGACCAAAATCGGCAAGATTTCGCGAACTAACCAAAATCGCATAAATTTTTGAATTTAGCTTTTTGTAATCCAGTAATTTTTGATCAACTATAATCGTACTTGGTGATAGTGATCTCACAAAAACTGTGGCTTCAGATAAAAAAAAATTCAGATCCCGTTGAGCAGGAAACGGCAGTCAACAGAAGAACGTTTAAATTCTGCGCAATGGCCAAGTGTCCTACCTTTAGCCGACAGAACTATCCATCGTGTTAGTTTTTTTTTTTTTTTTAAATTATTTTTCGTAATCAAATTGGAGAATTTGAATTTTTTTAGTTGCTTATATTTTAATTGTAAGTTTTAGTTTCAGATTAATTTTTAACAATTTTTTTAATAATAAAGTTTTTTCAGTGCTTTTTGGCAATATTAATTGATTTTTTTTTTGATAGTTAATATTTATTTAACGTTATAAGTTATTTTTTTTTTTTTGTTTCAAATTTAAGATAATAATGCACGGAACAAATTTCCGATGCCTTCGTGATTTTCGGTTAAAAATTTTTATAAAAACTCATGTGTTTTCGATTTGTTTTAAAACGTGGCGGTGTTTTGGGGTTTTTTACTTTGATTTTTACTGTATTTCTGGATTTTGTTATAAAATTTTGCAATATTATTGGCTTTTTTTATCAAAACTGTTCGGCTAAAATTTTTTGTTTCTAGATGATTGTGATTTCGTTGGTTTTTTTTTTCAGGACAATCGCTGCCTGGATAGTATGTTTAAGGCGCAGTCTGCTCTTTTTCTAAACGGGAACTGTTTTTTGAGTGTTCAGACGGATGTAACAGCGCATCATCGACACCAAGCCGTCGAATGGCTCTTTGATGTAAGCGATTGCACTGCAGAATAAAAAAATTCACGT